CGTCGCCTCCTTCTTCTGCGAGTGCCCCCACGGACGCACCGGTACGAAAAGATAGATAAAATACCTCGTTGCCTGCGTGTTGCGAGAAAAAGGGAATTATCCAAATACTCAAGATACTCCGTTAACTCATTGGCTGCCAAAGACGTCTATAGACGTAAATTCAAATACAACCGTTGACTGCCAAAGATGTCCATAGACGTCTTTTATGTTTTTCAACGAGAGTGGCTGGGGGACGATCTGCTAAAGCTTGTCCGTAAATATCAGGCTTCTAGACAGAGTATGTAGTAACAAATTGACCCTCTAGGTGGCAGTGCCCCTTTTGATAGGAGATTCAATTAATTTAAATTAAATTTTCTTTTATATAGCGCCACATCACAGCAACAGTTGTCTCACAGCGCTTTCCAAACAGAGCAGGTCAGGCCCTACTCTGAAGTTAATTACAGAAACCCAACAATTCCCGCCATGAGCAAGCACTAGGCGACACAGGCGAGGAAAAAGTGTAGACTGTAGGCAAATAAGAAAAAGGTAACGGTTCTATGAGAGAACATGTCGCCGGTGAGACGCAAGTCCAGGAAGAACGGAATAAGGTAGAAACAAAAAATTTTTTCCTGATGAAAGAAGAGAGTCTACTCTTTCTTTTGGTGTGTTCGGTGTTTACATAGTCATAGCACAAACTATTCTGTGACTCTTGAAAAATCAGTCAAAATGCTCAAAAAACTCTGGCAGTCAATGAGTTAATGTATTAGCCTTAACTTCTGCAAACTCCTTAACTTTGGTTTCATTGCTTCTCACTCGAACAAGACTCCTCTTGACTTCAAAATAAAAGTGCTTTCTCTTCAAAACAAAAGCAAATCCACTCTATACTAAATGATACAAAATAAAACCAATACAACTTACATAAATTCCAATCAGTCAAGTACCCTTGAAAAGAATAACAAATAATATACTTTTAATATTTGAACGTTATGTATAAGACAGTATAAACAACAATTACAGTCAGTTTATAGTAAATCTAATAAAAATGGCCAAGGGAGTCTTTGGAAATGATCTCTTTGACTTTGGCCCCTTTAAAGGTGATAAATTCATGGAGTTTATTTGATCTGCTTTTAATTTCCCTTTAGGGAAAGAGAGGTGGAAGGAGGCTTTAGAGGACAGGATGGTTATGGGGGGGTGGAAGGAAATGCTTTAGGAGTGCTGCCTAATTACAGACAAAATCAAACAAAGGGCCGACCGGACTCCTGGACTAAACCAAAGCTCTGTGGATCTGTTTTGGAGATGTTGGGGGGGGGTTAAAGGGGGGGTTACTACACACACGTGTAACTGGCAGAACCAAAAGGAAACCATTTATTTCTCATTAAACTACTAAGGATGGGTGGATCTCAGCTTCAGCTTTTAGCTTTCTCAGAATCAGAATCAAAAATACTTTAATAATCCCAGAGGGAAATTATTTTTGTTACTGTCTCCAT